CATTTTCCATGAGATCATGATAGAAGCATGGCAACGTACAGAGTGAAAGCTGACAGGAACTTCTTATATGAGTGGAGTGGAGAGACAGAACTCAGTGTTCTTCAATCGCTCTTCAAGATCCACTCCGGGATTTCCATTTTGCACTCCCTGCACAGTGCTTTTATAATAAATATAATCACTCTAGGAACTGCAAGTCAATTCCATTTCAAGTAGTGTGTTCACAAACGCTTCTGTACAGGCCCCTCAGAAATGTGCATAAGGAATGTGTTTAAGAAAAAAAAATCTATATTATATGCAGAAGTATTGACCCTTTCACATTTCCGGGTTTCTCAGAAGCAGAAGTCGTCATAGTTGGGTAAACTTATATACAGCGATGAATGGGAGACTAGATTAAATATGCATTTTTGTGTTCCAATTTGCTCAAATAGAAAAAGAAAAACTCCACAATAGTGTTTAATAGTGTTCAAAAAGAGGGTAAATATTGAGAGAGATTAATAATGGCAGTCAGAAGAGAGAATTAAAGATGTAAGTTAAATTTTACCTTCACTCCCACAGCCGCTGTAGGCTATTAAAAAACCTAAAAGCAGCGTTTACTATTTTTTTGATGCAATTAAGGTAATACAATACAAAGTATAACAGTGTTATAGATGTAAAAAAATAATAATAATAATGAAAAAATACAAAAAAAAATGCAGCATTTTCGACGCTGATGACCGTTAAAACGCGTCATCACAACAGTCTGTAAAAAGAAATTTCCGTTAGCGTCATATATTTTGAAAAGACTGAATTTCGCTCGCGAAAATGGTAACGTTAAATGTAGACCATGGTAAATGGTAAATTTAGAATTTAAAATAGCCTTTCGTGACTAATATAAGACTTATAAACAGCCAGACCGAGAGCAACTAAATGATAGAAAACGCGGATGTCTCCAGACGCGTTTTTTCTAAGTTAAACTACTTTTAACTAGCCAACAAAACAGTAAGAAGCGACGCAACGTACGCCTGGCGTATACATTTACACAGACCAACCAACAAATAAAAAAATATCGTTGACAAAATGCAAGTTCCGCAAGTTGCTCCGCTGAGGCGCTGTCCAGCACGCGAAGCTCGTGAAGGTGATCGCGTGATCGCTGAAGCGTGTCGGAGATCACCTTCAGAAGCCTGGCGTGCTGGACAGCGCCTCAGAGGAACAACCTCCACCTCCATCTCCATCTCTCTACACTTACTCGATCCTCCCATTAAATATAATATAAATATACAGCAACGTCTCAAGCCGGACACTGGCTTGAATGCATTGGCACCGTTGAGTTCAGTGCTTTAAGTGTGGTAACGTTACTTGGCGTGCATTTGTATGAATAATTTCCTTCAAAACATCCACGTGAATGTGCCTACCTGATTATGTCATCGTTATGTCCCAAATAAAATTTCTGCTTGTGTTCCCGCGTGTTGTACACAACTCCGACGCCGGCGACAAAGTACACGATCTCCTTGGCGGCCGTGTAGTACAGGTTGTTGCGGCACTGGTGTCCCCGGTAGCCGTAAACCCACTCGAGTCGCAGATGACAGTTCGGAGCTGTTCTGTCAGCCATGTTCGGACGTGTTTTGCTTTGAAGCGCTGCTTCTTCATTCACCGACGCGACGAGCCGTCACATTCAGCCCCGTTTATCCGCTCAGTCCGCTGTCTGCGAAGCTTCGTCCGGCCAAAGACAAACCAATCGACGACATATTTCAATTCAAGTGAAGTGCACAACTTTAGGCTGTTTGCATAATGTTAGGGCAAATGTTTGTTTTGTTCTGACGCTGTAAAGTCTGGCGTTTACTACTTGTGACATGTGCGGGACTAGAAGCTACTCTCTCTACTTCTGACCAGACGTGCGGTTTACTGGCTTTGCTCTAGTGACATGTCAAACCTGAGAACATGGATTTTTCGCATTAGTTAACTGGGACCAGCCAATCAGGAACGGCGGTTGTGATTGACAGAAAGCGTGGCCAATCACGTCGTGAGGATGAGTTGAATTAAAATGTGAGGACCAATGGCGAGCTAGAGAAGGATGGAGAAAGGGGTCTAAGCGGTGGATGGCCTGCTGCTCATTTAGCATAAATGGCAGTTTAATACCTTTTGCCGTGGGCCTACTTCGGTACACTAGTTTACTCTGAACTCTTAATGACCTTAATGAGTTCATAAAAAACAGGACTGGATATTTTCTAACCCTGTAATATCGAATGACAGTCTACTTTTTAATGTTTAGTCATTTTAGTACACCGTGTAAACTAAATGAAAAACGTTTCTTAGCAACTAGCTAAAATAAATGTAGTTTTTAATATTTTATTTCAAGTAACGAAAATGTTTTTTTATTATTATTTTGCTTCAGTTACCCATAATAACCCTAACATATATTTTTTTCTTCTTCTCCAGACAAGTTTTTCAGTTTAACTAACGTACTTTTTACCTTGCCACAAAATAGCAAGACGGTAATCAACATCCATTACATGTGTGTCCCATGGTAGAAAGTAATTCAAACATGTATGGAGCAACATGAAGGTGAGTAAATGGGCTAAAAACATCATAATTGGTCACTTCTAGGCTAGCATTGGACACATCTGAATAATTAATAGGATAGCAATAATGGTCACATTGTGACGCTGAAGTAACCAGAGATGTTGACCCATGGTCTTGATGGGTTATGGCCCTAGAGTATGAATATTCAAATAATGGGGCCCGAAATCTTAAATGAGACCCGAATCCTTTGAAGATATCGATAAATAATGATAGAGACAGAAAATATAATAGGTGATGAGTTTTTTCTATTTGATAGCACAATGAAGGCAAAAGTACAGAGACATAAGGTAAAGCTGTGTTAAAGAATGTCATTCTCTCTACCTCTCATAGGACTTTCGGTTATACAAAACACAACCTTAATCTGAACAACTCCTCATTAGACATATAAACATATTCCAACTCTCTTGATATAAGCAAGCAAGAGACTACACGTCCTAAAATCCCAGCTCTTGTTGCTGGTTGACATGGCTCACATTCTTTAAAAATGGCATTTAAATGACAATGACCATTCAATTTGAATTCCTTAACAATGAAGGGAGTTATTATAAAAAAAGATCTTAAACACAGTTTGGTACACCTATGAAAATATCACTCTTACATGTTACATTAAAAAATGGACCCCTTCAGAACAAGAAATGCATCAACATAAGGTGCGAAGTGCCAATGGAGTGGTGCTAAATGTTCACTATATATAAACTGAAGAGAATGGGAGCAGATGCTGACGACAGCCGTCCATTTGCAGCGCTCTTGTTTACCACATTAAAATGTGTCAAATATCTCCACACATTCATTCCTCTCACAGTGAACAAAAACAAGCTGCTTTCTGTTGGTCTTCAAATGTGTAGGAGTAATCCAAGTCACTTTACCGGCACTAAGTGGGCGAGATTTCTTTCATAAACATGAATCCAAATAAGACAAACTTTTCTAATCTACAGTTAGCAACAAATCATTTTTGCAAGTTTCATTACAGTATTTGTAAACAAGTGCTGCAAATCATGTTTTGGCTTTCCGTTTTAATTAATGTAAAAAAAATTGTTCAGATGGTAATGACATATATTGATATTAATTAGTGCTAAACACATTTTGGAACACACCTCATGGCAGTTCACATACAGTCTGATTTAAATCAGCAACCAAATGAAATGCTAACAACATCATGTATAAAACAAATACTTTGTATTCATTAGTGATTTTCAAAACAAGCTAGCCACTATTCCATTTATAACGGAGGAATATGAACAAAATCGTACAAATCTGTTAATTCTCCTTTTAACCTAGCAATGGAAACCAAGAATCAAATTGGTTAACCTTTTGTGGAAGAGATGTATCCTTTCTTGCAATTTGAAAAAGAAAAAAATACTCCCAACACACACATACAGTTTGTTCCAATATTTCAAGGGTGTGTGTAGTAATCTGAAGCCAAGTCATAAATGACTTTCAAAACTGGATCATGTACAAAACATTAGAACTTTTAAAGGACTGTCTGCTAAAAAATATCTCACTCACTCACTCTCTCTCTCTCTCTCTCTCTCTCTCACACACACACACACACATACAGGGAATGTCAATATCTCCACTTGCAACCGTCCAACCAAACTCGACACTCACAAACAACAGAATTTAGAAGAATATTTAAAAGAACTGTAGAATTTTAGCCTTTTCAGGGTCTTTCACAAAACTATAAAACAAATTAAACATTAAAGGGATTGCTCACCTAAAAATTCTAAAAACTCATTTACTCACCCATGTTGTTCCAAAAAGATGTTTCAAAGGAGTAGTTCACTTAAAAAAAAAAAATAAAAAAAAACTTTTGCTGATAATTTACTCACCCCCATGTCATCCAAGATGTCCATGTCTTTCTTTCTTCAGTCGAAAAGAAATTAAGGTTGATGAAAACATTCCAGGATTTTTCTCCATACAATGCACTTCAATGGGGTCCAAACGGTTCAAGGTCCAAATGAGAGTTTCAGTGCAGCTTCAAAGGGATTTAAACGACACCAGACGATGAATAAGGGTCTAATCTAGCGAAATGATCGGCCATTTCAAAAATACATTTTAATAAACTTTAAGTTTTATAAGCACAAATGCTCGCCTCATTTTGATGAACGAGTTTGAACTGGAGAGTCACGAACGCGCATCACAGAACAGAGCAAGGCGACCATTTGTGCTTGTAAAACTTAAACTTGTTTATTTATTTTTTAAATGACCAATCGTTTCGCTAGATAAGACCCTTATTCATCGTTTGGTGTGGTTTAAAGCCCTTTGAAGCTGCACTGAAACTCTCATTTGGACCTTGAACCGTTTGGACCCCATTGAAGTCCATTATATGGAGAAAAATCCTGGAATCCTTCATTTCTTTTCAACTGAAGAAAGAAAGACATGGACATCTTGGATGACATGGGGGTGAGTAAATCATCAGCAAAAGTTTTTTTTTTTTTTTTAAGTGAACTACTCCTTTAAAGAATGTTGGTAACCATAGTAATTGTAGCCATTGACTTCCATAGACGTAAAAATGACCAACCCCAATTACCAACATTCTTTAAAATATCATATTTTTGGTTTAGCAGAAAAAATAAACTCATACATGATTGGAACAACTTGAGGGTGAGTAATTGATGATAAATATTTTTGGGGTGAACCATCTCTTTAATTGTACTTGACACGGTTCGCCTGGAAATTCATTACTCGAATTTTCTCCCACTTCATATAACATCTCATGAAATGATGGGTTGAAATGCACATGGAAAATGTCAGGTGTCACAATGTTCATGGAAGGATGATGAAAGTCTTCGGGAGCATTGTGGAAAGATTACGGAGTGTCACAAGATCAAACACTGTGGCACACGGTCTACAAGAGCTGCGCGCCGGGCCTTCATTCGGCTTACGGAGCAGATTTGCAGACGCTGCACAAAGATATACACTGTGGATCATCACAATATAGGATTGCCACTAAATACAGAGCACAAAGACATTTTAGGTGTCCTGGTTGTTAGATTATTGGGTGTGTTTTTGTTCTCAGTTATCAGTTATTTTTTTCCATCGCCAACAAAAGAAAAGCTTCAGAAACCTTAAATATCCAACATCCACTGTGATTCAAATTAAAACTGATTTAGATGCAAATCTATGTTGATTCCCCAAATGTTCACATTACAGTACTGAGTTGTTAGACTAAAAAAATTTAATTAATAAAAAAAAAAAAAAAAAAAACGTATGCAAAAAGGCATAGAAGATAGAATTCAATGCCCTTTATCAACGTCATTATGATTCCCAATATAGTTTATTTTTGATTACAGATATATTTTATCAGTATAATAGTTATTATTGTTACTGTATATTATTCACTCTGTCTTCACAATTTGTTCAGGGAAGGATGGCGTGGGACGGGGTAGTCATTGCGACGAGGCTTTAGTGGCTATCGCGGACACGCAGTGCTGTTGGAAGTTGGGGGACATGGCCGTGTTGCAGCCCAGTCTCTGACGAGGGCCTTTCAGACCCCCGTCCCCCTCCACGATCCAGGGGCTGCTGTCCGACTCCTTACCCAGCATGCCACAGCACTCCGGGGTGGGGACTCCTAAAGCGGGCAGCTGGCCGGACGGGGGCGGGGCCGAGGGCTCATTGGAGGCGTGGTCTTGGAGGACGCTGATGATGTGGTTGAGGAGGTCATTGAAGAACTCAGGAACACCCTCATATCCTGAAAAGAGTAAGAATTGTTAAAACAATAATGGATAAAAAAACATTAAATGATGAGATACATGATGTTTTTTTTTTATTTCAATGAAATCAATGTACTATATTTTAGATTAATAATGTTTTTATTTAATAGTTTGTATTTTTAAGGGGATTTTATGCTACGTAGCCCTCAATCCTGTATATAGCCCTTAATCCTGTAATTGTGGACAAATGTGGGCACAGAGGACTCGGGTGTGATCCTAATTTTTATTTATTGTAAATGTTATATCACTGTCTTCGATAAAGTTTTGTCTATCCATTTATGGTGGGTTTTTTTTATTTTGGGGGTATTTTTGAATTAATTTACTTCAAAAAGTACGATATTTTCTATGTAAATTATGCTTATTTTTATGTTTTATTTTTTAATTTTTTTTTAACTACATTAAAATATCATTCCAATAAGTTCTTCGAGCTAAAACCTAAAGATGAAGTGACTTTGCTGTCACCTGGTGTCTTATTTTGGCTTATTTTAGAATGCTCTCAATTACAGTTTTTCCCATTCATTTCTATGGGTGCCCATTTTTGACCCAAATACAAGATTAAGGGGGTTTTTTTTTCATTGTAGAATTGAGTCAAAAAATTGTGTGTGTTCAGGAGGCAAACTTAGGAAAAGTAGCCAAGTCAATAATAGTTATTTCATCATGCATCATGCTTACTGGTGAGCATAACAGACTTCCAACCCAATCTTTCGAACGGCAGTGTATGCGCGCAAAATAAAAAATTATTAAATGTTGCCTGGAGAATTGCCTTGTGATTACAGGGTTACAGTTTGCATGGACAGATACGCACCAGGGAATGCATTGATGTCAATGACTGCATGTTGGCCCGTCTGGTTGTTGATGATGACGTCGATCCCGAAGAGCGAAACCCCGAGAGCTTCCCGTAGAGATTTACACAGTTCCCTGATGACATCATCATTCGGGGGCTGGGAAACCCCTTCTACATTATCTCTCTGTCAAAGATGCAAACAAAAGTGAACAAAGAGCTTTTGCCAAAACACAACACTGTGGGTTGACTAGCAAGACCGCCATTTTTACAGGATGCCCACTTACAGATGTGAGGTCAGAGGACGACTCTGGCTTGGACACATTGTGGCTATTGAAGAAAATCGCTTTTCTGTCTGTGAAGGCATTAAAATGAGCAAACAAATGAATGCAAAAAAATCTAAACACTTTGACTAAAAGTGAAAGTGTAACAGTGCAAGTGCACAGCAAGCCACTAGACGGCAGCAGAGATCTGTGCTTCAGATGAGAGATTCAAGGATCAGGACTGCCAGGCAGAGAGGGAGAGAAAGAGACAGTGAGGAGGAGGACGAGGAAGGAAAAACAAAAATCTAGTGCCAAGAGGACGCTGAGATTTATGACCTCCCACTCAAACAGCAGAAGAGAGATTCATTAAGGGAGAGCAATCCACCATTTACACTTCCTTCCATCTGCACACATCAAAACACCCCAAATATTTACGATGTACTTCTATTAATCCTCAAAGATAATATCTTTTTGAACCTAAGAAAACATCTCTTCATCTGAAGAGAGCAATGGTCTTAACCAGAAATAGAACCAAGGAAACAAGGAATTATAATGGCTTAAGAAAATCATATGCGTTTTAAAACACATCTTACTAGAACGTGTATTTATAAACCTTAATAATATTTATATGTGATTCAATTTTTAACATTTTCTTACAGCATTAAAATATGCATGACATTGCTCTATAATGGCTGTGTAGAAACATTATTCCAGTCTGAAAAAAGTAACATTTCTCCAGCGATAGCTATTTAAATTATTCAGAAAAAAAAAAATAAATAAATATAATTATCTATAAATACATTAAATATTTAATATGACTAAATTTATTTTATTATATACAGTATACTGTATTTAAAAAATATATTACAATATTTCATCATATTAAAGTAGCTGGTTTAGCAGATGAACTCGTAGCCCTCAAACCGTATTCACTTTATAGCCCTTAATCCTGCTATTGTGGACAAATGTGGGCACAGAGGACTCAGGTGTGATCCTAATTTTTATTTATTATAAATGTTATATCACTGTCTTCGATAAAGTTTTGTCTATCCATTTATGGTGGGTTTTTTTTTATTTTGGGGGTATTTTTGAATTTATTTACTTCAAAAAGTAAAAATTTTTTCTATGTAAATTATGCTTATGTTTTGTTTGTTTTTTTAACTACATTAAAATATCATTCCAAAAAGTTCTTAGAGCTAAAACCTAAAGATGAAGTGACTTTGCTGTCACCTGGTGTCTTATTTTTGGCTTATTTTAGAATGCTCTAAATTACAGTTTTTCCCATTCATTTCTATGGGTGCCCATTTTTGACCCAAATACAAGATTAAGGAGTTTTTTTCACCCACTTAACATTGTAGAACTGAGTCAAAAAAAAATTGTGTGTGTTCAGGAGGCAAACTTAGGAAAAGTAGCCAAGTCTTGTACCGCTCAGATCACGGGAAGTATTTTTTAAAAATAAATCAAAACTATTTTGCCCACATTTGTCCAGAATACAGTTTAAGAGAAAAGGGATAAAAGTGTATCTTCAGAAAATTTGGACTAAACCGCTCAATATGGGTTTGGAACGGCATGATGGTGAGTAAATAATGACAGAATTTGAATTTCAATATTAATTAGATCATTACTATGTTTTAGTATTCTGTTCCTCCACCTCAAAAATAATAATAATAATCATTAGAATTAGTTATGCATGTATTGTCATTGGCTTTGCATTTTGTTAAAATACGATAGTTTTGGTCAGTAAAATCTAAAAGAACTAAATAGTACTGCGGTACAATCCCTGATTACCTGTCGAGGAACTTCACAAACTCAAATATATCACGCCTTCATGGGATTCTTAGAAATTACAAACAACCTGATCCATCTTTAGAAACACAGTGCCACCCCTTTTTCTTTGTTTGAATCTTTTAAACAGGTTTTTTCCTTTGATATTGCTTTAAGATAAGGTGTGAGTGAACTTCCATGTGTGTGTGCATTGCGGAGTTCAGCATGAGTTCATGAATTCATAGATATGACCTCATGAATTTGCATTAAACTAACAGATTGCTCTTCCAGTAGCCGTAACTGGTTTGCATGCACTGCAAGTGCACTGGCATATGCAAACGGATCATCCTGTACAGTGGCCTGCGGCGGAAACCCCCCATCAGCAAGCACTTCTGCTGACGGGGTAGGAGCAAAACACAATCCACGGTTTCCACTGCAAAGTCAGCCGAGTCTTTACAGCGGGAACGTTGTAACGTAAATCAAGCCTAAACAAACTGAAGGTCCAGTTGCGGTGAAACGAAGCATATCGCAGGAACGGCCTTTCATGGAAATAACATTTATAAAGAGTTGAAGTGTGGGCTGAAGGTTTACCAGACGGTCCAGAAGGGAAGTTCTTGAGTGATGGTCTCTCCACCACAGAGTGCGATTCTCCCACCACAAACACCTTATACAGCACGGCATTGTGGTTAATAAAACTCTGAATGACACACGGGGGCTTCACATCCTTTAGGTCCTCGGCGTTGAATATTATAGCCATCTGCAGAGGAACACAGTGAGACAGAAAACTTTACTTATCTATTCAAAATGATAAATACACTTTTTTTGGCATTGGTGCCGTGGGAACAACCCAAAAGAACCGTTCTTAATGGGATACTCCACTTTTTTGGGGAAATAGGCTCATTTTACAACTCCCCCAGAGTTAAACTGTTGAGTTTTACCGTTATTGAATCCATTCAGCCGATCTGCGGTTCTGACGGTACCACTTTTAGCATAGCTTAGCATACATCAGTTTTCAACGTTTTCTTGTTATTGTGACATTACGTAAATAAAAGTAGTTGCGAATAATGTATTATTATTTTCTGTATAACCAGAAATGATAGAGTATTTTAAGTTGATTCCACTGTTGATGGGAAAATGAAAGTGTTCACGACGCGCCCGCATCTGTCTGCCATCCAGTGTGTGCTCCAAACTCCGCACACATTCTTGGATATTGGTCAAAATTGAGTGTTTATTTGTGATAATCTTAGCCCTATTATTGTCCAACCTGTAGGCCTACATGAATGAGATGTGACGAATTGCTTTGTTGCTTTTTTGGATAAAAGCGTCTTCTAGGCTATATAATAAATGTTAGAATAGGCTAACGATGATAATTATTATTATTATTTGCGGACACGGACCTAAAACACACTCCGTCTTCTAAGTCAGGTGACTGTAAATGCGCAAAATCCGTTTCCATTGCAGTTTTGCGAAAAAATCCTTTTTCGAATTGCCTGAAAAACCTCCTCATGCGGGCGTAAAAACTTTTTTGTGATAAAAGGGAGTTTTTGCGAAATTGACGTGTTTCCATTGAGCGTATTTTCATTTCGCAATTTCAATTTGCGCAAATTGAAGGGTAATGGAAACGCGGCTATTGAAGTGGACAAGACAATTAGCATTTCTCAACAAAAAAAATGGCCAAAGAGTTTCATAATGACTACACAAATTTAGTCCCGGTCATGTTGGAAGTTACCGAGCTGGGGACTATTTTCAGGCGCTGTGTCATATCATTACGCCTGCTGCACTCATGGTACGACAGTAAAGTGTCTTGATTATTACACAGGAGTGAGAGTATAGTTCCTAGCCATATCAGCCTAGAAAATCGCAACTTTACATTTTCTGTCGGTCTTAGTGCATGATGTAACTACAGAAGAGTCAAGTTTTAAATAGGAAAAATATCGAAACACTTTGGTCATTTTTTTTTTTTTTTTTTGAGAAATGCTAATGGTCTTGTCCACTTCAAAGATGTATGCTAAGCTATGCTAAAAGTGGTACCGGGAGTTGTAAAATGAGCCTATTTCCAAAAAAAAGTGGAGTATCCCTTTAAAGAACCATTTTTTCTTACTGTCTGAAGCCTTTTTCCACTATAAAGCACCTTTTGTGCATCGCAAATAAATGTTGTTTTTTCTTGGATATTACCTTTCATATAGTATGAGTGTAAAAGGTCTCCAAAGGTTTAAAGATCAAAGTGCATGATAAATAGAGTTATAGTCACCCAAAAAGGAAAAACTGATTGTGAACTGCCTGAAATAAGATGCCAGTACTTACTTGTAGGTTTGTAACAAATTTGCATAATTGCATAATCATTGGCTGTCTTTGCCCCGCCCTCAAACACTGTATTGTAGCTGAGGTCTGGATGAGTTTAGTTCGTGTCGTCAACGTGGAGTTGAACTTTCCAAATCAGCTACTTCAATTTCTTCAACTACAATAATTTATTAGGTTAAATTTGACTTAGAATGATGCCCTCAAAAGGTAGCTACCTATGTAGGCAGCTCACTAGATTGTAATACAAAGCTTTGTGTGTGTGTTGGCATTTCATGGCCTCTGTGGTCACATTTCACACCAAAAAAAAAAGTGTTAGAAAAGAGTATTACCTCATGAGAGTTAGTTCCGTGAGCAACCCGTGTTTTGCAAACTGTGCAGGATGAGAAGGAAAAAACACTCTGGTTAAGTCTAGTTAATAATGCAACTCTTTAATAAACCTTTAATGCAGTGAAATGCAACCTAATGGCATTTTAGTGACCCAATAAAAACAGGTGTATCTGCAGAGGTTTTAAAATCAAATTACAGACTTGCACAGTATGTCCATACAGAACATACTCATGCAATCTTAATCTCTTAAAACAACTGCAAACCAGGATAACTGCATGTTTAAAATACTCAGGACATGTTTAATTCAAAATATACATATGTATTGAAATTGGTTTGCATTTTAATTTATCAATACATCCAATTATAGGTTGATTGGGACTGGATTTTGCTGATACGTCGGTGTATGAATGTGTGTGTGAATGGGTGAATGTGAGGCAATATGTAAAGCGCTTTGGTGGCCATTAGGTCTATGAAAGCGCTATATAAATGCAGTCCATTTACCATTTTTTTACCATACAATAACAATTATTTTAAATAAAAAGACAAATAAAAACAAGACGGCCACCATTCAACCCAAAAGAAGTCATATAATCAGATATGTTCAGTTAAGCTGAAAAAAACTGCATAGAATCCCTTTAATGGATTTGCTAAAAAAAAATTGCAGAGCAATTTTTGCACATTTAGAGTGATATTTATATAATGAGCTTCTTTGGTTAAACATTTCTGCCCGTTTCAGGAAAGAAGAGGTGCGAGTCGTGAGACTTACTGAAAGGGAATGTAAGGCCGTGCCGCTCGATCTGCTGCAGTGTGTCTGGGCCACACTCACTGTTCAGCACCATAAACGGAGGAGAACAGATCCTCAAATCTGCAGAGAAAACACAGGAAGAGACAGGTTAGTCCAGCTGACAAGGCCTGCTCGAATCCTACATGGATTTATAGAGGGGAAACACAAGGGTTTGTGAAAGTGCTGCTTGTCCTATGACCACTGTAAGAAAGGAAGTATGTAATACCTGAAGAACACTATACATTAGTGCTCATATCTCAATGGCAGCTGATTGGCTGGCGCAGGAATGTGATTGAAATTTGGCATAAAACTTTTTTAGCCAATCGCCTTAGGGGTAAAATCCCATGTGACTGGCAATCACTACTCTGGAGCTGCAGGAAATTGACATCATGATAACATTGATTGGCTGATGGCACCACAGGATGTGGGTGATATTAAACATGCCCAAGTTCTTCACTAACCACTGATCTGAGCTATGATGTGGAAGACAGTTCATTTCATGCCTGTAAGAGAAATAATTCAAATAAACAAACATTTTATTTAAAAAAAAAATAAAAATAAAATACAATTAGAAAATTTCAAACTGAACTGTCTCTTTCTTAAAGTCACCATGAAACGAAAATTGTGAATTGGGTGAATCAACTTCTCGGACGAGAAAAAATAATTATGTGATTTATAAAAAGTATTTTATTCAAGAATATTAAGACATGAATTTAAAAAAAAGGATACATTATTCATAACAAACACCACAATATTTTATCTCAGAAAGGAGGGGACCAAATACTTTATTAACTGTCCGTGTTGACTTTATTGTGATTTAATTTATTGAAGAATACCAAGTACAAATCCCAGTTTCACAGATAGGGCTTAGACTAAGCCAGATTAAGCCTTAGTTCAATTAGGACATTCAATTAGCTTTTTTAAAAGTGCCTTAGGAAAAAAAAAAAACATTATTACAGTGCATCTGCAGACAAAACAATGGCACTGACATGTTAAGATATATCCGTGCAAGTTTGCTTTCAGTTAAAACAGCTCAAACATGCATTTTAATTTTAGTCTAAGACTAGCTTAAAGGGATAGTTCACTTTGAAATTAATTTTTGATATGTTTTAGCTTACCTCAAGTGCATCCAAGATGTAGGTGTCTTTGTTTCCACAGTATTTTTCAATTGTGATATTTTTAGGTCAAAACGTTCGTGTCTATCAGTCATATAATGGAGGTCTATGGTCACCACCTCAAAGAGCATGCACAGAGAAGTCCAAATTAAACATGATTCAATGACTCGTAAATGTAAGTACACATTGATGGCCTAAGCGGTTTGTGTGAGAAAACGAACAGTATTTATATCGTTTTTACCTCTTGTAACCACAGCCACAAAACGCCCACGCCCTCAGATCACTTGGACGTGGCTGTGGTTACAAGAGGTAAAAACGATATAAATACAGTTCGTTTTCTCACACAAACCGCTCGTTTTGTGTCTTAGGCCATCAATGTGTACTTACATTTATGAGTAATTAAATCATGTTTAATTTGGACTTCTCTGTGCATGCTCTTTGAGGTGGTGACCGTAGACCTCCATTATATGACTGATAGACACAAACAGTTTGACCTAAAAATATAAAAATTGAAACTACTGCAGAAACAAAGACACCTACATCTTGGATGCCCTTGAAGTAAGCTAAAACATACCAAAAATTAATTTCAAACCCTTTAAGCCTTGTCTGTGAGACCCCGGGGGCAAGCATCTTAAACACTGACCACTGACCAGCAGTGGTAATTATTGAAGTAAAACATCAAAATCAATTTAAAGACATGAAATACAGTTAAATTAGGTGAGAGTGACCAGATGAGTTTACATCCTCACACGGATAATAGTTGTTACCAGTCGTAGTTATCGGCAGCGACTCTTTTAAAACCAACATTGAAAGGTCTTATGTCATCAGTAGCCCCTCCGGTTGACTTTACTTCCCTATTTATTTTATCGAATGGAGAACAATGGACACAAGGCACTGAGCTCTGACTCATAATGCACAGCAGGTTCAAGGCTTGTTTGAAAATCCTTTACGCTCACCGTCCTGGGGATCGCTCCGATGAGCAAACAGAGAGACAGAGATGGAACAAAAGCGTCAATAGCTGTGAATGAGTAGCGATGTTTGCGAATTCCAACCGGAGGCACATTATCGGATTGGGATGAATCATCAAAACAGAGACGGGCTTAACTTGGGCCCTTCTACCTCGGGCCAGTAAGCAAACGCCTTGATTGGATCTGCTTTGCTGAAGTGGATCTTGCTTTCCGTCAGATGCCAGTGTTGTAGTGCTGCTGTTATCTGAGATAAGGCATGGTTTGTGAGTTTTCGATAGTGTAGCACAGGAAATGAGTTGAAGAGTGAAGCTTCAATAGGCTGATGACACACTCACAGCGTCCTGATATGATCACGGTAAACCGCCTGTGTGGTGGGGTAGCAAAACTTAGGATAAGATGCTTTTCAGTGTAGAATAAAGAAAATGCTGAACATGGCTCAAGGGTTAAAATTTAGTACACATTACGAAACACTTGATTATATTCGCAGCAATTGAGAACATCAAAAATACACTAAAAACGGTAATATTGTGACATTTTATTACAATTTGAAATAACTATTTCACATAACTATTCAAATTGAGAACACACTATTGAGAACATCAAAAATACTCTAAAAACAGTAATATTGTGACATTTTATTACAATTTGAAATAACTATTTCACATAACTATTCATTTTAATATATTTTAAAATGTAATTTATTTCTGTGATGAATATGTGAATTTTTTTTAGTCAATATAGTGTCACATGATCCTACAGAAATCATTCTATAATGATTTAATGCTTCAGAAACATGATTACCAATGTTGAACACAGTTGTGCAGCTTGATGCTTTACTATTTATAGATAAATAGAAGATTCAAATTATTTATTTATAATTCATTTAAATGTCACTTTTAATCAATTTAATGCATCCTTGCTGGATAAAAGTGTTCATTTCCTTAAATAAAATGTACTGACCCCAAACTTTTTAATGGTAGTGTATTCATATTTGACTCGATGCAATAATAACTTAAAGTTCCTCAAACTACAACTTCAACGAGAACAGTCAGTCAACTGACAAGGTCATCACTGATTGGTCAAAGTCGCCTATGCAGAAACAAAATCGCAAGATTGTCACTTCCTGTTTTGTCTAGTTGGTAAATGATGTTATCGTAACTGAAATATCCTGTAGTGTTGAAATGGAGAAGGCTGTGCTGGTTTTCTTATCAGAGCTGGTTCATTTATCCAGCTGCTAGACTTTTGTTCTCCTATTCCAGAGGAAGCTTACATAAGCGTTTATGAAAGCCTGAAAAAGGGCAATGGCAATCTCCTGTTTAAGACCGACAAACAGGTTTAGTGATGTGAGCAACCTACTATTACCATTTACAAACACAGACTTACACATTTGGTTAGAAAGCATTTCCAACTTGTTACCATAGACAGTAAAAGAAATGGACAAAGTGACCCCATTGATTTCAACTGAGAGAATTGAAACCATAGATATGTATATAAAGGCTACATGTGTTACGGCGGAGTTTCCATCGTCATCACCGGCGGCCATCTTGTCACAGACAAGCTGATGTAAGATGAGTGGTCAGCACGAACACAAATACTCTTATCTCGTTGAAATCTTGGCGGATTTACAAACGGTTTGGTTTCTTACAAACGTTATTAACGTGGCTATAATTATCTGGATGATTATTTATTTATACACTTTTTATTCATAAGTATGCAGTGTCATAACTACATCTCTGACGTTTATAACAAAACAAACCGTTTGAAAATCGGTAGAGAATTGAGCAAGTTATGGTCATTTAAATAGTACATGTACCATTAAAACAATGTTACGAGTGAGCGAGCTGCCTGTGACAAGATGGCCGCCAGGTGCAGACGTCGACCTCCATTGGCCAGCAGCGTGGACGACATATCTAGCCTTTATATACATATCTATGATTGAAACCCGTTAAAAGCTGATCGCCAAGCGTACTGCGCAAGCTCAAACTGAGCACGTCAGCAACCTGTACGTATTCTAGTAGCTGTGCCGAGTGAAATCTGAATAAGACCGTGTGTTCACCGTGTGTTTTAGTCAGCTGAAAACGCTAGACGCTCTGCGAAGACGGCGTGCTTTGGGCGCTTTGGGCAGCGCAGCGTTTTTTCCCTTGAGACGTTTCGCAGATAATTTGTTTCATACTAAACATTTTTTTTATCCATTTTGTTCGGTTAGCTCAGCTGGTTGATGTCGTTGTTGTGACAGTTGGTCAGTGTGGTTTAGTCCCGCCCCTCCTCCACTGTGATTGGACGGCTGGGTAAAAACGTGACAGTGATGAGCGCTGCGTTTTATCCAAAGTTGAACATTTTCCAACTAAAAACGCTGGGCGCTCGGCGCTTCAGCTTGAAAAAAAAAAAACACTCAGCGCCTCGTTACGCTCATCCCGTTTAAAAAACGCGACACTCCCATTGATAACAATTGAAAACATACGCCAGGCGCGTGGAAAAACGCTTTGGTGGAAACACGGCCTAACTCCCTTCCGAATCTCACATAGACGGAGAGAGTGAGTATTAGCCGTCCATGAGCAGCAGCAGGATCAACTTTGTGACTCTGTATTAAGGGTGTCACGATTTCGATTAATCGAAATTAATTCACAATCTCGAAGTTCGAATTAAAAAAATGGAATCACGCCCCCGTACTGTCACTTCCGTTCGGCTTGCCAAGTGGAAAAAACATGCGTGTTGAAGTGCTGCGAGTCCATGGCCAACCTCCTCTAACTTACAGCTGGTGTGGACGTTTTTTGGATTTCCAGTGAATTATGTTGACAACGTTCGCGTTTCAAAAAAGCCACAGTTTGCAGACATCCCAAGTCTCGCGTAAGTTCTGGGAGTCTCCCGCATATTGATAGCAGGATGTTGCATGCAAATTTTTTAAATGTAGTTAAAAATTTTTTTTAACTAAACATAAAAATAAGCACAATTTACATAGAAAATATGGTACTTTTTGAAGTAAATAAATTCAAAAATA